ATATGCTCCAGAGTCTTCAAGATTGGGGCAAAGCAGTGGATTGCATTTTGCAATTCAGTGTTTTTGACTTCAAAAGCTGCAAGTTTTGCTCCCACCAAGGATGCATGACCAAGGTCACATAGGCTGAGACAGTACATAATGGATATTCTTTTCTATATAGACAAATGAGCCTACTGAGCCAGTTTCTCTGAGGGAATGACTTGGTGGTATGGAAGTTTAATCATTTTCTTCTTCCTACATTTCCTTCTACCATCTTTCCAAAGTGAAATATCCAATATTCATGGTTCAGTCCCTTAGGGGGTTTAAGAGAGTCACCTCATCTCCTTTGTACCTTTCCAACGCTACGGTGATAGGAAGGATTAGGTGTAGACCAGAGTCTTCTGAATGCCCTAGGAGACCAGATCAGTCCACAGCATCTTGAAGGATTAGCAGCATCCTTTGCCATCTGTGCCAGCCCTGACCACCTCCAGACCTCAGGACCAAGGGAAACCTGAGAAGTGAGTGAAATGAGTTTCTATAGGCAACACAATGGCTATAACAAAGAGGAAGTCTTGGATCTTTGCACTTGTTCTTGGTTTGATGCACCTTCTGGAGTAGCTAAAAGGCACTTGATTTGCATTTCACCAAGTCAAAGAGAGGAAGGGAGGGAGGGAGGGAGGGAGGGAGGAAGGGAAAGGAAGGGAGGGAGGGAGGGAGGGAGGGAGGGAGGGAGGGAGGAAGGAAGGAAGGAAGGAAGGAAGGAAGGAAGGAAGGAAAGAAAGAAGGAAAGAAGGAAAAGAAAGAAAAGAAATAAAGGAAAGAAGGAAAAGAAAAGAAAGAGAAAAAGAAAGAAGAAAGAAAGGAAGGAAGGAAGGAAGGAAGGAAGGAAGGAAGGAAGGAAAGAAAGGAAAGAAAGAAAGAAAGAAAGAAAGAAAGAAAGAAAGAAAGAAAGAAAGAAAGAAAGAAAGAAAAGGAAGAAAAAGAAAGAAAGATGGGGGAGCAAACAGATTGGATAGAGGATGGGCACAGGAAAATTATTTTTTTAACAAAGCAGTACTTTTCACTGCCTAGGCAAATGACTTTTGTGAAAATACTTTTATGAAAAGCAATACACTTGTTTTGACTTTACTTAGCACTATCATTAGGTTTGGACACAAATAGAAGTTCACAATAAAATAAAAACATATGATCAAAGATTATATACAATTTTGTGATGCTTGAGACTCATATCTTGATTTCCCATTCCAGATGCTGCAGATGCTATCTGAGGAAGGAAAGAACATGATGAAGAGAAAAATAATTAAATATCACTGAGCGAAATAATTAAGACTATTACAAAAAATATAAACAAATTTATAATGTATTACAATACAAATAAACAGTATTTTTAGCATAAAAACTGCATTTGCACAAAGAAGCTATTTAGTAACAAATACATGAAACTACATCAGAAACATGTGAAAATGATCTGAGTCACACATATACAGGGGCGCAGTTCCCATGAAACTTGACCGAGAAGCCATCTGAAGGCCATGTCCTGGTCTGAAACCACCAAAGGCCTTCTAACTAAATCTCCTGGTTCAGAAAAGCCGCTCAAAAAGCTGCCCCAACAAGGTTCATCATTTGGTTTTTCAAGAGAAACTGATCTTCTGAAGAGGATCAAAACATAGGACTGAGATAAAGATACTGAACAAGAAGGAACTTTTCTGTTGGCACAAAAGATTCACATGAATACTTTTCAAAATGTTGTATTTGATGGGATGGGGCCGTTATACATTTATAATACTGGTAGAAATAACACTTCAATACTGAGCTGGACAGAGATAAGTTGATACACATTAGCAAAAGCACCAATCTTTCCCTTCTTTCTCTCACTTCATGCCAATTGAACATTTTATACTGAAATCTTAGGTGGACCCTATTGTTTCTATCTTTTTTTTTTTTTGCTGGACTCTTTAATGTTTGCCATCCTGGAAAGCAGCATACAGGCTCCACTCTTAAAGACTTGGTTGTAAAAGTTATAAAGGCTAAGTGCTCAGCTAGAAGGTGTTTTTATCATCCTTCCCCAAAGGTGTTACAGGATGCCGGTTCTGCAGGCTTACACACCCTCAAATCACGTAGCAATGCCGTAGTTAGCAACAAGGATTTTGGCCATAAAAAAAAAGTCAAAATTTGGCCTTCTCCACTGTCAAAAGCCAACCTGGCTAACACTTGTTTATTTTGTATTACAGTCGTTATTCTGGATTTCTTTTTGTAGTTAAAGAAGCCTGTGGCTAACAGGGCTCACACACCAGAAGAGGTTTTAAGTACGCACCCATGAGGTTCGGGGACCTGTGAAGTGGATGAGTCCTGCCTCTCACCCCATTCTGTGCTTAGACTTCAAAGAGAAAGAAAGAAGTGGGATTGCCTATCTGTAGCTCCAATAGGAGATCTCTAAGCAAGTTGGGGTGGTAGAGCAGATCTAGCAAGAGATGAATGATAAACGAAACTAAAAAAAAAGTAGCTAGAAGTTTCAGACTTTATCCCTCTCATCAGAGAAACTACTCACATATAACGCACTGCACCCCCATTCTCAAATCTACAGTCACTTTTAATTTTCCTAATTTTGATTTACAGAAAATACTACTCTGTAATTAGATAGCTGATGTTGCAACATAGGAAGCATGATTATTTTTTATTTTTTAAATCAAAATCATGTTTCCACACATTTGACTTCTGGATTAAACAGATTATCTCCAGAAAAAATCCATAAAAACCTACTGAAATGTTAATCTAATTTCAAATTATTTTAGATTGACTTTTTCACCCCTTAGTTTTATATTCAGTAAATACTGAAAACCTATAAAGGCCTCAAGTGGAAAGAAATTAAATTAGATGTGTACTTATCAGGCCATTTAGTAAAAACCCTACCTTTTGCCAGGATGTTAAAAAAAAAAATGGTTCCTATAGCCACAGAGGCTTCAACTCTCAATGAATCTTCTTCTCCAAACTGGTTTCCCCTCTTCCTCCAATTTTTTTTTTTAAGTATTGTTGAGAAAGAACATACATTTCTCTTGTTATATAATTAGGTGTTATCTGGAGTCCAATTGGAAATTGGCCTTACATTTATAAAAAGCGAAAGTGGACTTTATTTCTTCATTCCTTCCCTTCTGGTCAAACACTCCACTTTAAAAAAAAAAAAAGTTTTAATAGGAGGAGTGTAAAAGGGGGGACGTATTATACAGAAAAGCCAAACTATGGAACCTTTCTTATTCCATACCTCTGAACTTAAACTTACTGATCTTTGAAAATTTTGTTTCAGCTGATTATAAGAGAAAGAAATCCAGTGACAGAAGGGCAGGCCCCGCTCAGCAATGATCCAGAAAAGCTTCCTAGGATAAGGGAGAGGGAGCTGCCATCATCAGAACCATGGTGCTTGCACTGAGGATGTGTTAGAAGACGTACATGGCAGGAGGGGCAGGAAATGAGCCAAAGTCAAGGTTTTCCCAGTCTGTCAGTTCTGTGATGGCCTCAAACTCAAGGTGCTGTTGCCGTCTGAAGAGAAAGACTATTGGCGACTCCTCATGAACCTCACAGTACAGGGGGGATGAGACTGTCAGGTAACTGAGTTAGAAAGATGAGAAATAACCATCTCTAAAAATTGGATTCTGTCAGAATAAAAACTCCCTTTGTGTGAGGCTTGCAACAGGCCCATCCAACCACTCAAGGGTAGAGGATCTCAGCACCTCCCCCTCCTCTAAGGAGACTGTGTTCAAAGTTAATACAAGGTAAGGGTTATCAAAACAGCCAGACAGGAGTATATTGCATATTTCTTTATAAAGATGACAGAAACTTTTCGAATTTCATAAACGTGTATTACTTGTTTTTCTGTCAGGACCCAAAGGGTGTAGGATCAACTTCAGACATCTTTCATAAGCTTGGAATCTAATTTTATGAATTTATTGGAAGACATAAATCAGGTAAGGCAGAAGTAGATGGATGGATTCTTTAAAAGAAATTGGGCCCCCTGGGTACTTTTAGTAGATTGAGTATTGAGAGATTTACAGGGATAAAATTCTTTACAAGATTAAGGAAGAAGGAAAGGAAACCAAATCTTTCATTTCCAGATATTCACTTTCATTAATTCTTTCACCAAAAGCACATCACTGAAAGAAAACCAGAAATGGTTTTGCACTTAATATTAAAGTGGTTCAAGAGCCAGAGAACCCCTTGAGATGGAAGCAAAACAACAAAGTATTCAAGTTTTCTTCACAAGACAACCTTGCACTGGCAACACTTAGGGCACTTCTGGCTTCAAAAAGAATATTGCTAAAGGAACCTTTTGGAAAAAAAAAAATGACTACATTTTGGCAAACAACAATAACAAAAACCTCTCCTGTAAAATCCCTACTTCCTTTTGAATCTCCAAAGGTTACAACATTTCATTCAAGATGCTTGGCAGTCACAGCTCCGTGGGCTTTGGTTCTGGATTATGTAAACCCTTCAGTCAGAACGAAGGCGGCTGATGTGAAGCGGCCGCTGTCGGAGGCCTCTCACTGAGGAAGTATTGTGAAGAGTGTGGGGCGCCTGTAGGCCCGTGCTGGGAAAGCTGGAAATACTAAAGGTAAGAAATAAATCCTAACAAAGGAGATTTAGAGAGTTGGGATGACGTCCAAGCTCTTTTCTACCACAATAACCAGGGCCCTCTCAATTTCTCTCTCTGAAAAAGTGTCTCTGTACCGTACGTAGTGGCTGATGTCTCTTACAGTTTGACAAAAACAAATACTTAACACAAGAAGACTTCTGCAAGACCTCCCATGCACTGTGCGGATGTTGTCGTGTGGCTTGGCTTGTGTTTTATGGCGCCTGCGGGGTGCTTTCTCTGGTCAAAACTCTAGCCTCAAGCCAATGAATGTGTGCCCATGCCAAGTCCCCAAACGGATCCTAACACCCTGTTTGTTTTTCTGTTTCCTGATTGTCATGTCTGAAACACTCTCATTAACATACATGAGGCTTCATGCCAGAGACTACATGACTAGAGATCGTTTTTTAAGAAAAGCTTGCTCATTCAGAAAAAAATGAGGATTTGATTTACACTGCAGACCAGAAGGAAGCTGACTACTCCTTTGGCCTGAATTCTCGGAAATACTGTCATTAGACCTGTGGGCCCTTATCGGCGTGCTGACTTCTGCGCTGCCTCAGTGTGTCTTCTGCCGCCTCTGAGGGCGCTGGGCTGGGCTGCGCAGGCACGTCTTCTCCAGGCTCGGCTCCTCCCTGCTCCTGGACCTCTCTCAGGGGCCCTTGGTCCTGGGCGTCACTCCTCTCCTCGTCCACACGAGCAGCCGGGCTGTCCTCCTCCTCATCCTCCTCTGCTTCATCCTCATCGCCAAGGTCTTCCTTCTCCTCTTCCTCATCTACAAGGCTGTCCTTGTTTTCTTCTTCATTTGAATCGTCTTTTTCCTCCTCTGCATCCTGCGGCTGTTCAGCTTTGTGGGCCTCCTCTGACCTCCGAGTCTGCTCTGTGGAGGGAGCAGAAGGGAACAGCCTCTCAATAAACTGATTATTCAGCAGGCAGTCGAGTGTGTCTAGCCATGAAATGAAGGGGGGGGGGGGGGGGGGAATGTGACAGTTTTCTCCAATCTGAAGCTATGTTATCACACGGCCCCTAGCTCCATCCGGGGCTTCCCTGTTCCTCTTGGGAGATTTCACTGACCCTGCAGACTTTGGGAGAGCACAGGGCCAGGGAGGGCAAAGGTTCTTTCATGCTTTATATTTGGTACCTTACAGAACACTCAGCGACCCACTCACTTACTGGTCAGGTGATGGGTTGAGAAATGTGACTTAAACCAAGCCAATCACAGGACTTCCCAGGAGCATTTGGCCAGAGTCAAGAGGAAAAGCCTTCTCTCTTTCTACAGGAATTGTTCAACTGACAATATGTGAGTTAGGGCTGTTGACAGCCCCCAAATCAGCCACAGAGAAGCAGAAACCTAAAATCGCTTGGGCTGTGCTTGAAGCCAGAATATCCCTGGTTCTTCCAGTTATGTGAGTTAATTTAAATTTTCCTTTTTGGGAGCCTGGGTGGCTCAGTTGGTTAAGCGACTGCCTTCGGCTCAGGTCATGATCCTGGAGTCCCGGGATTGAGTCCCGCATCGGGCTCCCTGTTCAGCGGGGAGTCTGCGTCTCCCTTGGACCCTCCCCCCTTCTCATGCTCTCTCTCTATCTCATTCTCTCTCTCAAATAAATAAATAAAATCTTTAAAATAAATAAATAAATTTTCCTTTTTTTCCTAAGTTACTTTAAACTGGGTTTCTGTGATTTTTAAGAATTCTAAGGAACATAATATATTTTCTAATTATCTAAGGAAGTCTCCAAGCCTTGAAAACGTCAAGAACTCGAAAGAAATAGAAGTTTACTTAAACTCCCACATAAAATGCAACAATTTTAAAGTCTCATAAAAGTCTTCATGCAAAGTCTCAAAACTAGGAATAAAAGCATGCAAATCCAGGGCTGTTGAATCCTACAAATGGTGTGGGACAGTGCAAGGATTTGGGGAGACTGTTCTTACAGGACTTAGGATAGTTAATGATACACAGTTGAGACTCAATAAATATGAGTTGCCCTCCTTCATTCCAGTTTGAATGAAAGAAAAGGTATCAACTAACTGATGAAGGGCATACACTTAAAGGGAAAAAATAATTGCCAAAATGAAGTATTCCCTAATTTAAGGGGAAAAAAAGAACTTTTGTTCAAATCTGATTTAGAGAACATATTTCAAAGAATTTGGTAAGTGGTGATGGTTTAGCCACCTAGTGAACTGGGGGGAAAGAATCTAGTATCTTCTTTGAGCACAAAAGGGCACACCACAGAATTCCAAAAATACTCTATCACATGACTTTATCATACTTACCAGTACGTTCAGATAAATGCCTTGGAAGTGGTATATAGAAACATTCTGATATTACCACCAGGACCTGGAGAGAAAAAAGTGATTTTACTGTGACCAGATATGACATTTATTAACAAAGAACCTCAAATGTAGGCCTTGGTTCTATAACCAGATATTCACAGACAATTAATTAGCAGTTGGTCAAAAGTCCTCAAAAAAGACATGGATACAATTAAGATCTCCTATTTTTCAAATGTAACAATGTAGGAAAAAATTACAAATACTTAACAGGAGTCAGGGGTCACAAAGTCAAATGTCTATGGAGACCCATTAAAAACAGGTAAATCAAGCAGGTATAAGAAAATAGATACTCTGAGTCAAGTCTACAATGGCCTTTTTAAAAACACTCCTCTGGCCAAACAAAATTAGTCTGCATATCGCTGCCTCTCACCAATGGGTAACCAATTACTGAGTAAAAGACGATGTCAGGGTCTAGAATTCTTAAGAGTAACATAAGAAATTTCTACAGGAATAAACTGTGAGAAAAGTCATTAATGATATGAACTAAACCCTATTTTAGACGGTAATTGCCTTGGCTTCATCTTCAACCTTACTGCAGCATGAACCACTTTCTATTTACCCTATAAACATCCCTCTCCCTTCATAAACTACAAGCTCCTTAGGGGCAGGTTCGTCCCAGTCCCTGTTCCACACCCAGACTGGCATGGATCATGAAGCTACAGTTTGTGTCATAAAGGGCACAGTTCACTGACCGGGAATAAGCTGCAGTCATTCTTCACACGTTCCCCTACAGCACCCCACAATGCAAATGTCCACCCAGGGAGAAGCTGCCCACTTAGAAGGGCAATCCACTTCTTGTACCCAGCTAACTCTCGGACTTTGCCTTTACTTTGAATAACTGCCCAGGCTTTAAAATAGTAATACTACTGGGGCGCCTGGGTGGCTCAGTCCTTAAGCGTCTGCCTTCGGCTCAGGTCATGATCCCAGGGTTCTGGGATCGAGCTCCGTATCGGGCTCCCCGCTCAGCGGGAAGCCTGCTTCTCCCTCTCCCACTCCCCCTGCTTGTGTTCCCTCTCTTGCTATCTCTTTCTGTGTCAAATAAATAAATAAATAAAATCTTTAAAAATAAATAAATAAAAATAAAATAGTAATACTACTTCATACATTAGTGTTTTAAAGGTGCTCTAAAATTTTAAAGAACCTAAAGAAGTCATAGTACTTTTGATTCAATTTCATAAACATCAAACGAGTACCCTACTTTGTGTTCAGAATTATTAACAATCTGTATATTCATTTATTACTTTACTCAAAATTTGGTTCATTAGGTTCAAGGTATCATGTTAACCTCTGCGGGGAGGAGTTCAAAAAAAGGGAAAAAATGGCAGTTTAATTATAAAGCAATATGGAACATGAATTCCATAAGAAAAATGAATAAAGCACTTTGACAGATATTTACGAGATAACAAATATGACAACCAGTTATAGTTTTGGGAAGGATCAAGAATGGCCACTTGAAGCAGCATTTACCCATCCACTTGGCATAGTCCCGAGTGGACGGGTAGCACCAGCTGCCTGGCTCCTCTAAGCTACACCAAACTGGACCATGGGGGCTCCTGGATCCAGAGAAAGCCTGAATGCCAGGCTGGGGAGACGCCTGTGGTAGGGCAATGGGATGCATGAAGCTCTGTGGGTTGAAGAGGAACAAGTTCCAATCCACTAAATTGATTTGAACAGTAAAGAGGAAAACATTTCCATCTGAAAAGACTGAGGTTGAAAAATTTCATTTTCATGTGATAGTCCCTAGGGAAGATGGCAGAAGAGTAGGGGACCTGTGTTTCATCTGGTCCCTTGAATTCAGCTAGGTTATCTATCAACTCATTTTGAACACCTGTGAATTCAACATGAGATCTAAGAAAGGAACTGCTGCAACTCTATAAATAGAGAAGTGACCACTTTTTTGCAAGGTAAGAGGTGCAGAGGAGTGAATCTGAGGGGATATTATCAGAAAATAAATCACAAGGGGAGGCAGCCTCCATAAGCCGGCTACCAGAAAGTAATATAGCAGTGAAGCACAAAATCAGAACTTTTAGAAGTCTGCTCCTCTAAGGGATGTCCCTCTCTGAAAGATGCTCAGGTAGCAAAGCAGGGCAGAATCCTAGGTGGGACAGTGTGGTCTCGGGATCCCCGGGGTGACCGAACGAACAGGGTTGCCTGAGTGCAGCAGAGTTCCCAGGCATGGGAAGGCAGCTACAATTAGCGAGCCCGGGAATGGCCTCTCAGCTAGGTGTTGCCATACATCACAAACTGCAGCATGACTGGGGCAACTGCTCACCAAGCAGGGGACCTGCAAGCGACAACCGCTGGGAGATCTGGCTCCTTCCCCAGGGAGGAGCGGAGTGGGTGTGCACCATCGGGCAAACGCTCCAGAGCAGGGCCCCAGAGAGTGGCGGGGCCTCCAGGAGACACTCCTCCACAGCTGGGAGGACTGGTGCAGGTGTGCAGGGCAGGAGTCTGCGGGGTTTGGCGCACACAAAAGGGACTGACTACCTTTCCCTGAGGGTGCGCTGGAGAGAGGGAGCCATGATCGTTCAGCTCCGGGGCTGGAGATCAGGGCTCTGCTGCCATTTTTTACTTTTGTTTCATCCCTTAAAGTGGTGCAAAAAGGCTTCAGGGAACAAAAGTCACATGGAGCAATGTGAAGCAGCTTCCAATGAGTCGGGCCAGGAGTGGTGCAACTCCACAAAGGTAAAGACACCTGAGTATCGGTGCAACAGGGCCCTCCCCCAGAAGCCCAGCAGGATCCTCCAGTGAATACCAAGTGTATAGATCACTCAGAACTGAAAAACTCCTGCGCTGGCAGAAAATACTATATAGAATTAGAGGTTGAGCCCTTTGTTTACAGGTGAAAAATAACGTTTACTAACGTAATTCGGTCATCACAAAGTCAATCAAGAAAACAAACAAAAATCTAAACTAGCAGCCTTGTTTTGACTTACCATCTTTTAAAATTAGGAAAAAGTAAGAAACATAATCATTAGGCTGATGGGGAACAGTAATTTGACCAGGAAATCACTTCAATGGAAAATATCGTGTTCCTCCTAGCCACTGTGTAAGTTGAATCTTATATATGTATGAATCTAGAAAGATTCATAGAGGGAAGAACTTCCAGGGACACAGGACTGCAGGCCTGGGCTCTGCTTTCAGCCCTCAGTTAATGGCAAAGGTACCACAGAACATGGAATGCACAGCTGCAGACCTCCTTGAAGGCAAAAATTCTAGCTGTTGTGTACTTTTTTTTTTTAAAATACATATTATGGTTGTAGAAAAGGAATCAGAGATATGTGTTTGGTATTTATGGAAATGTATTACCAGAAAATGTATTATTCTTTTGTTAAATAAAGTTCTCCTCCCAACTTCTTATAAAGGAATAATATTCTATATCATTTAATCACTTGAACAATCTAGAATCCACTCTCTTCTTCCTTCAGTCCAAACCTTAATAATCTTCCTGGACCAATTATTTGAATCTAAGTTTCCAAATAAACTTAGGGCATAGGCAGGCCTGGCCTGATTTTTTGAACTTAACATTAACATCAAAGATAAAATTCAGAAACTCTTTATGCTGAGTAGAGTTTCCAGTGGTCTTTCAATAGGCTCACACTCAACCTACATTCTCCATAACTCCACTTGAGAACCACCCAGGATCTCATGGTATTCCCCCTACAAAAGCCTCACACTCATGTGGCTCTAAAATATACCGCTAGAAAGATCAACACTAGATAGTAGATGGGAAAAGCATATTTACATCCAGTCAAATTTATACCCAAGTCAAATCTTTTAGGCCAGACCATCAGGGCCATGTTGGTTAGCAATAAGATTAAGGCGACCTAATGAATGACATATCTGAGTTCCAGCCCCATCTGTGGAATTAACGCCAGTGGTCAGATCTCAAATACAAGCCATAGCATGAAGTAAGCATGTTTGCAGCAAAATAAAATCAAGCCTCCTTGGCTTCCTGGAGTATGGCTTTGTCATAGCAAGTTATTTATCAATATATATAAAAGCAATTGCTGACATTTTAAGCTTATTTTTAGGATATGTGCTGCCAGAGCAAGCACTTAAGCTTATTTTTAAAAAGGACTTACTAAAGAGCTGAAATGCATTATACAATCTAAGGACAGACTTTAAGATAATCTAACCTCAACATCTGTCCTTTTTATATAAATTTTTAGTAATCATCAATTATTCCTATCATACAGTGTTTAGAAGCTTTGTGATTAATACACAGCACAATGGCTTTTAAGAACTTCTTAATTAGAGTTTAAAGCTTAATCAAACTGATCAAGTGTGAGTATGAAAAGAAAGATTTAAAAATTATGTAAAAGAGTAAAACATTGCCAAAACACTTATAGTTGCTTATGTAGTTAAGTAAATAAATTTATTATTTCAATTCTTACCTAAAACATCTAGGGAGAAAACACACAGATACCTACTAGGTACTAATTTTCATACCTAAAGAAGACATAGTAATGTGCTTTGCATCTTTTTTTTTTTCCATAATAATGACTGTGTTTTTTTATCTACAATATCTCACAAAATCCACCTTGGGATAACCAGAGTGTATGTATAGGCAGCAGGTCAGAATTAGAGGTTCAGTTGGAGGTTGTGAACAAGAAAAAATCTTGTTCACTCAAGGAACAAATTCACAGGTTTGGCCTTATCACCACAGTGTTCCAATCAAGTAGGCAATGTGTGAAATCACAGCTGACTTGGTTGTCTTAGAAACTGACTATGAATTCATGTAAGGTCTCCAATTCTTTCATTACTACCTATATTCTAGGTAGCACCCATCTTCAGAATATTTAAGGTTAGGATTAGGAGATAATAATTTAATAAACTTTCCATTATATCTCAAATTACCACTGAAAGTAGTATCAAAAAAGTAACTGCTTAGATTATACACAAAACGATACTTGTTTATGCATCTTTTCTTTCTTGGCTGCTTTCTAGTTTTGCATAAAACCCATGTGGCTTTAAAGAAAGGGGGGAAATGGCATTATCTCTTACCAGACCCATGAAAAGGCCAAAAATCAAGGTGGCCATGACGAAAAAGACATAAGAACACCAAGCAGGAATTCCAAGGGTCACTGTGAAATAGTTGTGAAGATGCTGTAATCAGAAGAAAAAAATAAAATATTTACTTATTACCAAACATGTTTGAATCTCCCTCTCTAGCTAGAACTCAAGTCTGCAAACTGTTTCTACATGTATGAGTTCCCACAAAGTTCACCCAATCTGCATTTATGTGATTCTTCAAGGACAAGTCAAATTTTACAACACTGAAAATCAGAGAGTAATAATAAAGGTCATATCAAGTGAGAGTTATATTTCTTTGTTCATGATCTGGTAGAACTCTGGCAGAATTGTTTTTCTAGCCCCTTCTTTCATCATGACAGACTCTTTTGGGTCATTCTCCCCTATAATTCCACACACCTCAATTTTTACTCATCATGTGGCATCCATAAAAAATTAAACTTCCTGGGCCTTTGTCAGTTTTTTTTTTAAAGATTTTATTTATTTATTTGACAGAGACAGAGAGAGCAGGAACACAAGCAGGGGGAGTGGGAGAGGGAGAAGCAGGCTTCCTGCTGAGCAGGGAGCCCAGTGTGGGACTCGATCCCAGGACTCTGGGATCATGACCTGAGCCGAAGGCAGCCGCTTAACGACTGAGCCACCCAGGTGCCCCAGGCCTTTGTCAATTTTTAAGTGGAACTAAATTACTACTTATAGACATCAATCATTAAAAATGTCCCATACTGGGGTGCCTGGGTGACTCGGTTAAGCATCCGACTCTTGATTTTGGTTTAGGTCACAATCTCAGGATTGTGAGATGGAGCCCTGTTCCAGGCTCTGTGCTAGGCATGGAGCCTGCTTATGATTCTCTCTCCCTCTCCCTCTGCCCCCCTTCACCCCTACTCCTTCTCTCTTTGAATGAATGAAGTAATTAATTAAAATAAAATGTACCATTTCCTTTTCCTAATCAGACCATTACTCTACTCTACCCATCCTCAATAACTTGCCCAAATCACCATAAAACTGAAAATATTAGACAGAAGAAAGTTTTTCTAGTTAATTCATTATGAATAAATGAGATTCCATCAGTCTTTGAGTAAAGCCCTCATCCCTTCATGCTTACTGTTCCCTGGGACTAGCTTTGATATCAAACATTTAAAAAATGAGTGAAGAGATAACCATTTTTGCTAAAAATTGTTTACATGCTAAGTCATACAGGTATGAACCTACCAGTTTGGAGTCAAGGCCCACTTAAATGTGGACATGCAGCAGCCAAGCTTCACCATGATGGCTTAGTGATCATCTGTGTTAGGCCCTTACAGCTCCAAAACCAGTCATTCACTATAATCCAAGCATTTATGGGCACATGATGAAATCATTCCAAGCTAAGTGCCACCAGCAAGCAGAGATAACAACTGAATGATTTGCTTAGAACTGATGAGGTGGATGAAAATGACTCCTAGTTTCTATTTTAATATTTCTCAAAATCCAAATTACTCGAGTATCTCCCATTGGTTTCTCAGTTTATAAATGTCAATTCAATTAAACACTATCTTTTATTCTGGCTTAATTCTGAATGATAAACCAACAAATAAAAAAGCTTGTTAATGGTCTAGAATAATCTGAGATCTCCTCTCTCCAATTTCTTATTCAGTAGAAGAGATAGATCCAAAGACTCAGCAAATATTTTACATACTTATATATGCAAAGTGTTCGAAAAATATTTATTGAATTAAAAAAAGATACTAGCATATCCTTCAATTATTCATAGGAGATGCAAACAACTCATGATTTGTAAAACTATCATCCATCCTCTGTTATGGCATTGGTCATCATTTTATCTTTAGCCGGGGCAATTATTTATTAAGAGTAATCTAATGTTCTGCAGCCCAGTAGGCAAAGAGGTATTTGGGATATCAACAGGTTGCTTCATTCAAACTCCGTTCAATGTAAGTTCTAAAATGTATCATACAGTTCTCCACTTCAGAAAACTCTATGTGTTCATAGTTTATGCTTTACTTGATGACTCAGTGCCACCATCAGGATTAAACTCCGAAATGTGCCAAAGAATTAGAAGATATGGAAAGCCAGTCTGGCTTTGTGTCGACCCAGAGAGGTGTGTATTCTGGAACTTGTTTTATAAATAATATCCATCCATATGGCTGGAATGAATAATGTCCAGTTATAAGTCCTTCTGCATAGTCTCTTACACCCTTTCTGCAAAATAAATTATTAAAGTAACCCGTAAGAAATTTTCTAAGTTATTTTCTGGAATTCAATAAGTTATATGACTTTGAATCATTGCATTTTGGGTCACACACTTCTTAGTGCATTCAAAATATCCTCTTATTGTAGCAAGCTCCGCTTCAATTTTCTCTATCAACTATTTATTTATTTATTTATTTATTTATTTTCCAATAAATGTTAGCTGTTATTATCAATACTAATTTGATAATAAAGCATTTATTATTCATACATGATGAAAAGTACAGTTTGTTTGTTTTTTTGGAAACCCTAACACATATGCATTTATTTTTTTTTTCAGCTTACTCTTTAAAGGATTTATTTGAGCCTTTTAGAGAAATCCTGCCATCTTGTGGTCTTTTAGTTGATTAATACTAAAGCCTTATTAACCAAGTTGTGTTTTCACAACTGCAGACATAAATCTTTATCTGTTTACTTTGAGTTCACAATGGTTTTAGAACACCTTAAGAGCGTTGGGGTTTGTGGCATTAGGTACTTGAAGTCTTGCCGTATGTATGCTTTCAAGTAATAACTGATTCAAACTGATCTAACTCAGTTTTAGATTCCTGTGTTTCTGTTTCTTTAACTGTCAGGCAAAGTGACAGTTTTCACTTGTGGAAAATACTGATCCTTGTTCAATATTATATGTGCTCATTATAAGGAAGCATCTTACTCTGTTTCCTAAAAATGCACAAAAATATCACCTAATGGGCCTGACAACTTCTACAGTACTAGTGTAATAGATAATGGAGTTAGAGCTAGTTTTTGGCTACATACAGATTTGAGTGAGAGACTAAATGAAGACACCACTACAGTAGAATAAATGAGAAGAACATTCTACCCAGTGGTCAGATGGATTTAAGGAATGGAGCAAGGCCAAAGCATCCCTGGATAAGGTAGAGCCCTTTCTCTCCAGAGAGAAAGAAAAGTACTCTCTCTGGGGACTGAACTACAGCAGGTCAGATTCAATGCTGCCCAAGGGCACCCACTTAGCGAGCCCAGTGCTGCATAGTCTCAGTCAGAGCTGGGTAGGCCCTGAATGACAGAGAACCCTCTGGATTTAGATCCCACCAATGTCACAGGATATACTCTGAGGAGTTTTGGGACAAACCCAATATCCCTTTCAAACACAGATCAGAATCCTCAAAACATCTTCCCTGTGTGGGAGCAGCTCAGAAAGACTTTCTCTAGTAATGGCCAAGGGTTCAGTTCACCTTCAATGTTTTACCCTTTCAACACTTGCAACAAAACACAACCTTGCAGCCTCTTATAGGCATTAAGAGAGGTATTTTGTGGGTGTACACCATCTCACTGTAATATGGTTCTAGATCATTTTACAAGGAAAAAAAAAACTCAAAACAGTAAGAGGAGACATACCACTATCTAAAACACAGGGCGACGTTTGGGGAGTTTTAAAATATATTCTTGTTAAGTGTTGGTGTAGATGTGGAGGAAAAGGAACCCTCATGCACTGTTGGTGGGAATGCAAACTGGTGCAGTCAGTGTGAAAAACACTATGGAGGGTCCTCAAAAAGTTAAAAATGGAATTACCATGTGATCCGGTAATTTCACTATGGGGTATTTACCCAAAGAATATGAAAACACTAATTGGAAAAGATATATACACCCTATGTTTATTGCAGCATTATTGACAATAGCCAAATTATGGAAGAAACCTAAGTGCTCATCGACAGATGAATGGATAAAGAAGATGTGGTGTATATGCACAATGGAATATTACCCAGCCATAAAAAATGAAATCTTGCTATTTGCAACAAGGTGAATGGATCTAGAGTGTATAGTGCTAGGTGAAATAAGTTAATCAAAGACAAATATCATATGATTTCACTCATGAAGAATTTAAGAAACAAAACAACCAGAAAAAAAGAGACAAACCAAAAAATAGACTCTTAACTGTAGAGAATAACGGTTAACAGAGCAGAGTTGGGTGAGGGGATGGATGAAATAGGTGAGGGAGATTAAGAGAACACTTGTCACAATGAGTACTCAGTAATGTATAGAATTGTTGGGTCACTATATTGTACACTCAAACTAGTATAACACTGTTATTTACTGGAATTAAAATTTTTAAAAAAGTATTCCCACTTTGAAAAAAATACTCTCTTGTTATTCTCCAGTCTAAACACTCATGGCCTTAAATTCTCATTGTGAGGTATTTATAAAGCCTTAAATCTTCTCCATCATACAGACTGTCCTCCCAAGGATTGCAGCCTACCTTATTGCCTGCATCCTTGCATAACGACAGTGTCACTGAGGTGAGGGAAGTTACATACTGTATTAGCTCAGTGAGCAGTACAAATTCACCAAATCAAATCAAATAACATTGAAATGCATTCAGATGCTAAACCTAGTTAGCAAAAATACTCTTTGTACAACTGCCATAGAACCTTATTTTAATCCTGCTATCAGCCTGGATTAAAAAAATAACTGCATAAAAAGAGAAAGCATTCCTTATTGACTAGTGAGAGGTAAAAAGTAAAATAATGATGACAACAATGATCAATGAATACAACTAACAAGAAACAGCTGGCGAGTACTGACTAGGTGCCAGGTTCTACACTAAGCACTCAAAGTGTTCTAGTGACAACAGTTTATGGCAGAGGAAACTCATGGACTCAGAGATACACACACAGGGTAGAGAACAATGAGTTGTCTCTCTGGAAGAGAGAAAGATAATACCTCCCTACACCACTGTCGTCAACTGTGAAAAGAGATGAGAAGACAGGAAGGCTGGAAAGTCTCTCCATACATGGGCCACAGACAACATGTCAGCCCCAGGATCCCGAACCCTGACTGTGGCACCTGACTCAGGGACAGTGCTTCCCAAGTTCAATCTCCTGTGCATTGCTTCCATGGCATGAACCTCACCTTGTACTATTCTTTAGATTATTAACATTTCTCATTAAGTTGCATAACTTCTTTTAAGCTGAATTTCAAAGACATTTTATATTGCTACTATAAATATAAAATCAGTGCCAATTCTGTAGCTAGAAGATGTCTATCCACTCTTTGAGGAACTCCTTGAGTTGTACATCTTCCAGGCGCCCGTGACTCTTATGGGGTAGGCAAATGTCAAGGCTATATATGAGGATGGGTGTTATAGCTAGAGTGGCAATGACTTCTATGAGCTTATATAAAAATTAAAATACATCGGTGGATACCATCATGACTGGATTGAAAAGACAATCTGAATTTTAGTGATGGATAGAACATTTGAGATTATCCACTCTTCCCCCATACTGTGATACAAATTACCTACTAAGGATCCCTTGGATTCCAGGTGACAGCAGGAGGCTCACAGGATCTGGCTTATAACACTATTCAAGGAACTTCTTCACCTCAAGGATTTAGTCAAGCAAGAACATATGGGAGGTTGGTGTAGAGTTAAGAAAGCCAAATGCAGAACACAACAAAACCCCTGAGTTCATGGGAGCTCAGCTGTGTGGGTGTCTCCTCACCGAGCAATTCTGACATCCTGAGGACAAGCTTTTATTTCCAGAATGCCAGATCCAGCAAGCTGCCTTCATTCCTAAAGCAGAAACTCAAAGACTTTAAGGACTAGTTCAGTAGGCTTATGTTATAGATACTGTTCTTGTTTTTACTTTGTCTTTTTCATTACAGAAAAAAAATTAATACAGAGAAAGATAAGAGATTTTCTAAAAATCAGCCATAATTTCAGTATCAGAGATAGCTATTGCTGACATCTGATTAATCTCCTTCCAGGCATTTTCTGGTATACACATAAAAATTCCACACGAACATAACATTACACACACTGTTTTGTTATCTTTTCCCTCACTTAATAACATGCAGTTTTTCCTATAGAAGTATTATACCTAACCAGCCACTCATCCAGGGCAGACTGTTGATGAAGAAACACTGACTTCTATCTGTCTATGTATCCACGACATCACAGTAGGATAAAAGAGATTGTGGATGGACATCAATAACCTCACCTCACTGACATTAGCCACTCTGTGTCTTTCCTCCTTCCCTTGTTTGATCTTTCTTGGAGACCTTACACTCACTTAGTTCTAGCCATGTTCTTTCCCTCTCTCTCTCTCTCACCACATACTATGTTCCTTTTGTTCACTGTTAATATGTTTGCACTATAGTTTTATATTGTTTAGACATGAGTTATAAACAGATTATGTTCCCCACAATTATACATTCAACATTGAGGAAAGGATCCTGGACAAGGGAGAAGGGCTGGCTAAATAAGCTGAGTGAGCTGGGTAGTCAGCTAGGAGGACTTGCTCATTAAGTGGTTCTTCAGGTGCAACCAGGCAAGACTGCACCTCAAAGTTGAAGTGGAAACCTGACAGATAGCCAAGGATTGGGTCTCAATAGGCTGGAAATTATGTCCTCTGTAAGAGGACAAGGGTTAGATTATAGAAACAGGTTGTGAGAGCCCTTCCCAGAGATTTCATGGAAGGCTGAAAACTTGTTTCTAAGAAAAGAAGAAACTACAAAAGTTGTCAAGAGGCTTGGGGAACCTAGATGCTGATACAGAGGGTGATACCAGATTTCTCTCACAAATTTTTAAAGTAATGAATACACATACATGGAGAGATCAAAATAATCTACAAACCTCCCACTTATGTTCTTTTAGTCATATTATCCCCTGCCTACATACACACACACACACACACACACACACACACACACACACACACACACAATGCAAATACATTAGTGATGCCAATAAATATAAATGGACTAAATTTACCATTTAAAAGGATTACTTGTTGCTATATGCTTTTTACAAGACGCATTTAAAACATAACAGCAAGAAAAAGGCTAAAAGTGGAAAAACATTCCAGGCAAAATTGACCAAAAAGAAAAAAAATATGGTATTAGTATTAGATAAAAGTGACTCTACAGAATGTAAAATGTAATTGTGTGTCAAATTTTAACAATTTATCCCATAAAACTATCTTCTTTTGTTCCCTGTTTAGATATCTGGAAAGACATTCTAAGTATACATAATATGTAAATATCATATATACTCTACTTTTCAGTCACTAAGAAGAACATTTTCATTGGGGTATCTGGGTGGCTCAGTTGGTTAAGCATCTGCCTTTGGCTCAGGTCATGATCCCAGAGTCCTGGGATCAAAGCCTGAGTCTTGTCCCTGCTCAGTGGGGAGTCTGCTTCTCACTTCTCCCTCTGTCTCTCCCCCCATTCATGCTCTCTCTCTCTCACTCTCTCTCAAATAAATAAATAAAATCTTAAAAAAAAAAGGGCAGAACATCTTCATTGGTTATTCAGAAATGGATCATATTCTATTCTCCAAGTTGCCCTTTCTTTGTAGTCTGATGCATACACACAGATCTGTTCATGCTGCCCATGGCTGGAGCACTGTGCGTATAAAGATAAAACACCCACTCCTGGCCTTGACATGACAATGCCACACATTGTAGTTATTTGCATGATAAAAATGAAAAACTGTAACTCCTTATCTAAACTCCTGTTTATTGAAGCACAAAATGCCGTTATATGAAGTCAAAGCAATTATTTTTCTCCCCAGATACTATATTTGAAAATACACCTCTTTAACAATGCGTGAAAGTCATGACCACCTTCCATCTAAGCTCTTCTTAAACCACTAAACCAATTCATCTCTTGATTTGCACTTATTGTAGGTTCTATGCCAAGATCTTGCTCTTATGATTCCTGACATCCATCTATTATGACTATCCTGTTGAATTAGACATTATAAGGCTACAAGGTTCTCCGATGGCTATCAGAATATATGACTCTGTCAACCCTTAGTGTCAACATACTGCAAAAGGCAAAATCCTTACTCTCAATTCCCAATTGGCAATTCATAATTCTCAAACCCTCAATAAACTTCTCATCAGTGTTAAGAAATATAAAACTCATACGATCTGGAGAGAGGGAAAATCCCAGTTATTGTTTAATATCATACACAAGTGCCAAAAAAAACAGTTAACAAACTTTAAGAAGTACTGAATCCAAGTGACAAACTTAGTTTCTGTTGTGAAGAAATTCTGATGTTAGTATTCCATCTCACAAGGCAGAAAATAAAATATAACTGAAAAACTAGGACACAAAAGATTGTTCTTAAATTTCCCTAAACATATATCAATGTGCATGAGAAACAGAAGAAGATTCTTCATGAACTCCTTGAATATTAAGTTCCAAATATGACATCATGACGTAAAATCATAGCCTTGAAAAGAAAAATGTAAGGACTCACTTCTAAAGATTTTTTGAAATACTTTAAGGATATATATTTAATTCCACAGCAAGTTTGTTAAATTTGGCAGAATTTAGCCCACCCTACACATAAAGGGAAGTAAAAGATTATGTAACACATTCAAGATTATATAACTGTTCAACATTTTAACGTAAGTAACAGTTCTAACTCACTGAAATGACTCAGTGGAACGATAAAATTGCTTATAGTAGGGGCGCTCAAACTTTCTTAAAGGGCCAGAGAGTAAATATCTTAGGCTTGTGGGCCACATGGTCTCAGTCACAGCTTCTCAACTCTACCACTGTAGCATGAAAGTAGTTCTAGATAATAGGTAATGAATGACCATGGTTGTGTTCCAATAAAACTTTACTTATAAAAACAGGTGGCCTGCCCCCACGCTATAGTTTGCGGATCCCTGACACACAGTATCACTTTCAGGCTTAGATAATCTTTGACCTATAGGGAGATTCTGACAATGGGAAAATAAGATGAAGTAAAACCACATAAGCCCTTTCAGCTTTAATAAAGGAATCCATCACTGATCCAAGAAAATATGACACAGGTCTTTGTTCAATTTATGCCCTCCTACACAGGGACACAATTCTACTGGGGACTCCACATGAGAGCAGTTGTGTGGCTTAAGAAGAAAAGTGACATTATAAAAGTATTTGTAAGTGTTTACTTTCCTATTGTTTAGAAGCTACATTTTTACTCTTTAAAAACCTCTCTGCAAAGATAATCACAAAAAAGTATATTTAAGATTACTCACCCATATCTTGCCAGAGATGCTAAAAAGACCAGCCATTCCAGACATCCTAAAAGAAAAATGAATAATTGAAGAGAAAGAGAACCACTGGTGATGTATACTCTGAAAAAACAAGGGGGGCCTGGGCGGCTCAGTTGGTTAAGCATCTGGCTCTTGATCTCAAGCTCTGTGTTGGGCTCCATGCTGGGCGTGAAGCCTACTTTAAGGGATGGGGTGGCTGGGTGATAGACATTGGGGAGGGTATGTGCTACGGTGAGCGCTGTGAATTGTGCAAGACTGTTGAATCACAGATCTGTACTTCTGAAACAAATAACGCAACATATTTTAAGAAAAAAGAAAAAGAAGAAGATAACAGGAGAGGAAGAAAAGGGGAGTATGTCAGAGGGGGAGACGAACCATGAGAGATGATGGACTCTGAAAAACAAACTGAGGGTTCTAGAGGGTAGGGGGGTGGGGGGATGGGTTAGCCTGGTGATGGGTATTGAGGAGGGCACGTTCTGCATGGAGCACTGGGTGTTATGAACAAACAATGAATCATGGAACACTGCATCAAAAACTAATGATGTAATATATGGTGATTAACATAACAATAAAAAAATTAAAAACAAAACAAAACAAAACAAAACACCTCAGGTCACAGGGATCTGCCCTTCCACTTTTTGCAGTATGTTGTCCTCTCTCCTGGATTCACTTCCATTCACATAAAGCTTAGATTCCATAGTCTTCATTTCAATTCTTCTGTTATAAACATATTCAAACCCCTGGGCCTTTCTCCCTCCATTGTACATACCTGGCAAAAACCTCTACCCTGGGTAACTGCATGTCTCCAGGGAAAACCACATGACCAGCTGATTGCTCTCCCTTCCCAGTCACAAACCTCAGGGAGCACTCAATACTGCACTGTTTTAGGCTCTACCCAAGATGATAGCTCATGTCTTTTCCCTCTCTTCAGACCTTCCACACCCTCCCCTTCCCATGCATGCTCAGCTAACAAGTACTCCTTGTACGTCACTGCAAAATCAGAAGCCATTATGTGATCACTCTTATCTTCCCACCACCAAATCTGAGCCTGCTGTACACCTGATCCACCTCCTCCTGTTATGACAGAGAGAGTAGATCTGCCCTACCATAGCCTAATTCCTCCACTTGTGCCATGGATCCCATCCCTTTGGTCTTGTTAATGACTTGGTTCTTTCTGCCATCCCTCTTCCTGCATTAGCAATTTCTCCCTTTCTGTGGGATCATTTTCTTCTGCATGAAAACATGTTCTACCCTCTCTTATCTTTTAAAAAGTGCATTCTTGGACTTCACAGGGTTCTCCAGCTTCACAAACTTCTCCAAAGAGTAGTCTATGCTTACTATTTCTTCTTCCTCACCGTACCTTTAACCATTCAAATCTGGCCTCTGTCCTCACTACTGTACTAGCACTATTTGTGATAAGGCCATGATGACCTTGCATTGCTTCATCCAACATCCATGTCTCAGACTCAATCTTCCTTCACCCCTTGGTAACATGGGACACAAGTGACTACTTCCCTCCTTTGCTTAGCTTCCAGGAAACTGCATACCCCTGATGGTCCTCCTGCCTCACTGGTACCCATTTTCAGTTTCCTTTTGTTGAGTCCTTCCCTACCCATCTTCTAAATTTTGGGGTGTCTCTTGTCTCAGTCCCAAACACTTTCCACTTTTTCCCCTCTCTCTAGGTGATTCCTTCCCTTCTAAGGTTTAAATACCATCTACGTGCTTTGTATTTGTGTTCCTGAATTCTCCATGGAGACCCATCTCCATATATCCAACCTGACAGCTCTAGAAGGAAGTTTGCATCTCAAACTCACCATGTCCAACACTGAGCCCTTGCTTTTCCGTTGTTCAAATCTGTAACTGACACCAAGACCCACCAAGTACTTAAAACAGAAACCCAGGAGATTTTCTGTGAATCTTCCCTCTCCTGCATGTGAGCCAAATCGACCTTCAAAGCATATTTCAAATTCTCTCAATGCCCACTTCTGCCACCCTGTTAGGCACTACTGCTACCCTTAGGCTGGACACTGCAACAGACTGCTGTCTCACCTCATCCATCACCTCTCCAACCTCTCCTCCTAAGAGCCATCATCTTTTTTTTTTTTAAGATTTTATTTATTTATTTGACAGAGATAGAGACAGAGTACAAGTAGGCAGAGAGGCAGGCAGAGGGAGAGGGAGAAGCAGGCTCTCCGCTGAGCAGGGAGCCTGATGTGGGGCTCGATCCCAGGATTCTGGGATCATGACCTGAGCCGAAGGCAGCCGCTTAACCGACTGAGCCACCCAGGCGCCCTAAGAGCCATCTTCTAATTGTACGCACTGATACATCCAAGTTCCAAACCGAGGCTGCAGACCTGTATGATCTGGCTCCTCCCTGCCTCTCTTTCTTAGTGTATACTGTTCCCCCTCCCTTTCTCTGTGCTCAACCTTGGCCATCTTTCTGCTCCTCAGTACCATGAGCTCTTTCCAGATGGTGGGCTATGGTCGTGCTGTACCCATTGTTGGGAATACTCTCTCCATGCTCTTTACCCAGCTAGGTCATTCTATCCTTCGGCTCTCTCTGCCGCTCTACCTCTCATCCGATGGAGGCCCATGACCCCCCAGTTAGTCCTGTCTTAGTAAATATTTGTTTGTTTTTAAAGGTAGCTATCCAGATTAAGATTCTTTATATCCCTAGTTTTTTTTTTTTCTTAATCTGTCTTACTTTAAGTTACCTAAAGACAGCAGCTCTGCCTTGCTCACTGTTTAATATCTAGCACCTAGAACAGCATCTGGCATAAAATCAGTGCTCAAATATTTGTAAAATGAAACGCCAGAGGTGAGGGGCTTTTATTTTTTTAAGATTTTATTCATTTGAGAGAGAGAGCACAAGTGGGGTGAGGGGCAGAGGGAGAAGAAGCCGACTCCCTGCTGAGCATGGAGCCCAAGGCGGGGTTCGATCCAGGACTCCGGGATCATGACATGAGCCGAAGGCAGAAGTTTAACCGAATGAGCCACCCAGGCACCCCAGTGAACTGCTTTTAGAGCAAGCTCTGTATTTCCTAGGTAGTATATAAATGCTACTGGATGATTTATTCCTGAAATATTGCATAATTTGATTCTATTTCAACAGGGATATTCCTTATTCTTATATATACTAACATAAACTTAACTACAATTATGACAATTCATTCAAAGTTAAAACAACTGTGGAAAAAGTTAGGGCCTTAATTTACTTCACCAAGAATTATACAGTTTGACATTATGGACAAAAGTTACCCCCATCTGTGTTCCACTAGGCAGCTAAAGACACCATAGGTTTTGTTTTCCACATAGATACAATAGCAATTCCTTCATAAACTATAATTCAAGAAAGTGTTAACTCTTCTATCTTATCAATAAACAGAAGAAAGAACAGCAAATGATATTCAATATCATATTTTGTAAAGAGAAAAGAGTTGATATGGCTCAGTGCAACAGTCAGAGGAAAGGCTTTTGTAACCCACGTGAATTTGCAATACTTAATTCCCAGTATGCTAACAACTGGTTGAAACATGTGGGTCATAAAACTAGAAACACAACATTGGCCAAGTATGGTCATGTGTAGTCAGGGTAATCAGAACTGAATATGAAGAAAAATGTAGACTTGCAGGGTTTATGGGCTGTTTAACTTAATACCTCCTGCTTTATAAATAACACCTTGATATAAGAAAAATAACAAGTTACGTCAGAGAAGCTGGGGATTTCCAGCCAGTCAGAGGCTCCACTGATTGCCATTTTTTCTCCAAGATATAATTCTGCAGGTCTTCATAGACTCCTGGGCCACGGTAACGGCGGAATATCCCATCCTTTGCACTATAAATTAGAAAAACAAACAGAAAATAAATCTCTTAAAATAACAAGTGTTACAGATAATAAAAATCAAAATAAATACTGGTTTTACATTTGAACTCCACTTTGAATTTTAACTTGACTCAAATGAAGAAAAAAATTATAGTTAGGGATAAATATTAATTACAGATTAGAAATTCCAAAACAGCAAGCATTACACATTCTATTTTATCGCTGCACAATTTGGGACCATAAGCAAAGTTCTTGGCAGTGTCTAATCTACCAAGTTATTTTTATCATTTTTGCTACCAATTATTTCAATTTTTTCTCTTACAATGGCAAAACAGGAATTGTTATCAAGCTTTAAAAACTTGTATCCAGCTTTCCAAACTTATGTCATTCAACCCCCGCCCCCCCACAAAAAAAAATTAACAAACAAACACAGGCCCCTCAATCTTTCTCTGACTTTCTTGCCACAGTCCCCTTCCTGAGGGAAGAGTCTGCACTGGCCATTTTCTCCCCATGTATTACTCATTCAGCACTCATGTGATTGGTGGTTCTGCTTCCTCAACTCCATAGAAATTGCTCCTATTGTGGGTCTCCAATGACTCTTCAATGCCATATGCATAGAGCACTTTTCTGTCATTTTTCCCTGTCTGTCATCGGCACTGTCCACTACTGACCATCCTTTGCTTCCTCCTTTCCATTGGCTTTTATGACATGAGCTTCCTTGGCCTTTTTTTACTACTCTGGCCACCCCTGTTCAGTTCCTCACTCCCTGTCCTCCCTTGCAGATGTCCTAATGTTGGTCCACCCCAGGTTCTATCCTTGAACTACTTCTCGTCCCATTGTTTGTGTTCTCCCAAGACACATTGCAATGTTTGTCGACCTCAATGCTGAGGAATCTCCAATACATGTCTCCAGTCTAGATCTTTCTTCTGAGCTTTAGATCCTGAAATCAAACTATTACCTGAACTTCTCCATTTGGAATTAACAGGCATTTCACACTGTCTTCTCCATTCTGGCCTCTATCTTCCAAACTTCATCTTATTCTAATGGCTCCTCAAAAGCTTTTATGAGTTCTACATGGCCCATTGGTAGTCCTCACAGGCTCTTGCTTCCTTATCGCTAACTAGTCACCATGTCCCAATGATCCCACCTCCTAAGCATCTTCCCCTTTCCCTTCCCCTATCACTACCTGAGCCTCTCTAGCCTTATCACCCAAGATGATCCAACTGCACCCTATGGGTCAGAACCAGTTACAGTCCTCAGAAGGTATCTCATTTTCTCCCAGGCTTTCCATGATATCTCCTGTATCTGGAAAGGCCTTCTCCACCTTGTCTGCTTAACCCAATTCCTACCTTTCATATTATCGGAGAAATCTTCTTTGACACCGCCCACCCCCTCCTACTCACTGTCTGACATTAGGTGCCTTTCCCCTGCTGTGGTCTGAGCACCCCTCTCTTCTACCAGCTATTATTCAGTGCACACCAGTCTTTCCCTCTTCAAACATTAAGCTGAATAAGCAATGGTTATGGAAAACAACTTAGAATTCCTGATACACATGTACTGCTTTTGAATCTTTTCTAATGTTTCTAAGTTCTAATCAGAAAATTATTTAAACTTACTGAAAAAATGCTGGGAGAGTAGTGACAAAGAAGCGGCCACTCAATCCTATAAGAGGCATAAACAAAAAAGTTACAAGTCAAACTCAAACTACCCCAAGCACCTGACTTACGTTGTAAGAACTAGCAGCCTTGAGCTTGTTTTCATAGCCACATTATTAAAATTGTTCCAACTATTTAATCACATTTACCTTTTTTCTTTTTACTTAAAGAAATCATATTTTTATCCATTTTTATTTACCTACCACTTTCTGGTCAGTGACATACAATTTGCTTATCTTTGATGTATTACACTAAAGTTTTCTGGTTTATGCAATGCTTGGAATAGTATGGTGGCTGAAAGGACAGGTTGTAGAGTCATGCAACCTGGGTTAAATACTAAATTCTCCAGTCACTAGCTTTGTCACCTTAAATAAATTACTTAACCTTTCTGTAAAATGGGTATATTAAAGCCTGACTGAATTGTTCTGAAGTGAGATTAGATTGGTGTATTAAGTGCTTAGCACATACTAAGGACTCAGTAAATTATAGATATCATTATATGTTATAGGTTTAAAAAGAATAAAGAATATGAAATAAGATCATGTATAATCTTTTCACATTTATAAAATTTGTAATTTCTGTCAAGGAAGTCTATGTACTTTAAACAGATTTTTTTTTTCAATTTGTCTCAGCAAACATTTACTGAACAATAACCAATATCAAGTGCTATGCTAGGTACATGCGAGGATAAAGATAAATAAAACCCTTAGTCACTCATCAAATATTTACTAAGCAACTTCTTTGTTCCAGGGACTGTGATAATGGCTCAAGACACATAGATGAGCAAAAACACACAGTCTTTGTTTTCACAGAAGTTACAATCTAGTGGCAGAGGGAGAGAATTTAATCAAATAATCATGACCAGAAACAGAGATGGATGACATCAAGGAAAACGGCATGCAACAAAAACCTGCATGACGCTAGGAGTAAAGAACAGATCCCTGCTCTTTATTATTAACTAAATAATATATATGTGGGCACCAAGAGTGAGTAAAGCCAGTTCTGGCAAAGAGAAGGAAAGCTAAAGGATCCTCCTGGCCTGCCTGATATCATTTTCACATTTCTCATCATTTCTGCCTTTCCCACTGAAGAACAATCTGGACAAAATCAAATCCCTAGTTAAATAAAGTGGCTCAAATTTTACATCTCTGTGATGACTTGCAGTTTGAAATACTGAAGGTGTATTTTTAATAACAAGGGATATTTGCTTCTACTGATTTTATAAACTAAATCCATACTCAGCAAAATAATTTATTGACTAATGATGATGAGTCTTCCCAAAGAAGACTCATATCCAAGCAAGTAACTCTAAAACACCCATATGGCACTTAAAAGCAAACACAGTATTCTGAAGGCAGTAAAAGTCAATGTTACAAAAAGAAACATAAACTTCATACATCTATGATTGTACATTTTTTTAAAGGTTGTACTGACAAGAACAGAAACAAAAGTGACCTGAGAAGTCAGCTGAGGATTGGAATAAGCATCTCTGTCTACAGGACATTCTAACCTCTAACAGGCTTGGAACTCCACTCTACCAAGGAACAAAGACATATTTTAGTAGAGTTCCAAGTCCAAACAGCCAAGGGAAAAAGTACTGGTAATCTTAAAGGCTTGAAAATTATTATATGTTTTGCTTATTACAAAGTTTCATATCTCACTTCTTTCCTAGCTACAGATTTTTATGACTACCTCAAATCTTATATAAGGACAGTCACAGTGTTAGGGAATTATGCTTTATTTACATGGTCTTTTAAAATGGAATGCACAGGGGTGCCTGGGTGGCACAGTCAGTTAAGCATCTGACTCTTGGTTTTGGCTTAGGTTGTGATCTCAGGGTTGTGAGATTGAGCCCCATGTCTGGCTATGCACTCAGTGTGGAGTCTGCTGGATTTTCTCCCTCTCCCTTTGCCCCTCTCCCCAGTCAAGCTCTCAAATAAATAATAAAATATTTTTTAAAAAATTAAAAATCCTTCGTATGTTCTTGGTCATCACTGGCCATGGCAATAGATTAAAAAGTAAATAAATATAAAAAATATTTCATAAAACATATGAACTTACACAGTATATATAACAGTATTTCCAGATTCACAGGCCAGCTTCCCTGAAGTCAAACCCCACTTCTGCATCTTATTAGTTTTTAATCTGGGACAGTAAATTTAAACCATCGGTTTTCTCATAAATGGGCATCACAATATCTATCTCAGTATTTTTCAGTATTAAGTGATTTTATATTTATAAAGCACATAGAATATAGTATTTGACATAGAATAAGTACTAAATACATGCTAGCAAATATGTTCTATATTTAAATCTCTGATTCAAAGTTAGAATAAAGTAAGATGCAATAAACTAATTTAGTGTTACGTGCTTTGGAAATCATACATTATTTTGGATAATGTATCTTTACAAATAAATGTGCCCATGAAAAAAAAATGAATACAGAGGAAATAAGGAAAACAACACAGTGATAGATGAGTTTCTGAGAGTTTTCTTTACCTTTCTGGTTCAGACTAAAAGGACGTTCATCCCCAAAACTGTTAGAATAAAGGGTAGGAGAACTTTATGGCTCTTGCTATGAATTGCTGTGCTTTTTCCATAACTATTGTACCAATTTACAAGACCACCAATTAAAGTTCATTTAAAATAAAGATTAGTAATAAATTGTAACACCTCAAAACTGCTGACATTTATGTTTGTCAGTATTTCTTCAAATGACAACCCAGGCAGGATACTAATAATAAGATCACAGCATCTAACACAGATATGAGTTCAGTTTGATGTCTGGAATAATACACTGTCACTGAGAATGTCTTCAGGACAATTAACAACAAAATCAAGAACAACCAAAGTAGCCCTTAGATCATGACACACTACTAAGTCCTTGAAGATATGACACCACAGGAAACTTACCTCAAATAAATGTCATTTCTGAGAGGCTAACAAATGTCAGAAAGCTTTGGGTTTCATGTCATTGCTCCAAAAATGTCTTCTAACCTTTAATACTGATGCTATCAAATATCAAGGGAGCCTCTCATTACCTGAAAAGTTAAAACATGACCAACTTGGAACAGATAAGCTTCATCTGAGGTTGTGGGCTTCAAGGTCTAAAAACAAGGCAAGCGTGATCTTAACAAAGGATTACAACAGCAGGGCAGCAACTCATTACAAAGGTTGGCATCATGATTCACTGCAAGAAACCTCAGAAAGTGTAGAAGAAACAAGTGCACTGTTAAATTTTAACTGAAAGAGATAAAGTTTGACCACAAGGTCTCCCAACATTTCTGCATGTCTTTTTTACTTTATGGGGAACTTTACTTTAAAATGAAGACTGCAACATTAAAAAGGGCAAAATGCAGGACAAAATTTAATTTCTTATTATTAAGCTTATCTTAAACATGTATATCAAAAGAAAGAAAAGAATTAAAAGATTAGAGAAAGAAAAAGTTATACCAGGGAACTATATTTTGATATGCAAAAACACAACAGAAATGATTTAAGTTCAATACCTAAAAAATGGGGATAGCCGTTAGCTTTGGTTCTACCATTATTAGCTGTGTCACTTTGGGCATGTTACTTAACCTCTCTGAGCCTCAGTTTTCTGAGTAATATAGAGATAAACAGTTCTTCCTAAGGTTGAATGAAGCTAAAATGTATCTAAGTGCCTAACACAACTATAGGCTGAAGTAAATGCTTAACTAAATGTTAGTCATTATCACCAAAACAGTAGCAGAAGGAAAGCAATGAAAAAAAAAAAAGTAGAACTAACCTTACCTTTGAGACTGAAAGAAAGTTGTCAGTATAATACAAAAGACTAATTTTTACAATTATAAAATTAAAATATGAACACTAACTGAAGCACAGTAAACTAAGTTGGCTTTTGCAACTAATTAGTGGTTTAAACACAATGCTTATTCTTGGCTGTGGTAGGAGTCTGGTTTACCTCTAGTCTAGTGAACTAGCCATCACCCATGGGTACTCTATGAGCAGCTGCTGTTTTCTTGTCCTTGACAACTAAGCTCATCTGCATGGAACAGAAGGTTCAAGTGCATGCTCATTGCATTTAATTTCCCAAAGAACATGCAACTGATACATCACATGGTCTATGCAGTATTAAGCAGGCAATGCCATGTAATAGAATCTAAGGCCTTTCCTTTCCTTGACTTCTACATCTCAGCTGTAAAATACAATGTATAATCCCTAATCTTTATAATTCTGAAAACTTATTTTCTGTTCAAAATACCTAAGAAAATCTCTTGTGGAAGAGTTACAGGCATAACGAAAGATTATGCAGAAGCACTTCAAAAACTCTTGCTTTCACTTCTTTTTTAAATTTTACTTGCAGGGAAAAGAAATGAAATTATGCCTCATTAGCACTCCTGGCAAGGCAGCCCTAATGAAAGAATATATGAATGGAGATCTGTAACCAAATATAAATCTGTACACAGAAATATCCAGTATCCAGTAAAATACTCAATTTGAGGAAAAGTAGTATTATTTCAATTATTTCCCACTGCTCATTCAGGCTGTTAGATTTTGTAAAAGTGCAGTAAATACCTAAAGAGCTTTCAAGAATAGGGACAAGCCGCCCCGGAGGCTTGCCAGGGAGTTAGTACCATATTGTTCATTTGGCTTCCAGGACCCTTAGCCCTCCACCTCCTTCCTACCTCACCTGCTTCTCTCTTCCCTCTGTTGGAACCAAATCTTTCCCTCGGAATGTTAGAGTGCTCCGGTTTTCGATCCTCAAAACACTTCTCTGGCACACCCTCCCTAGGTGATCTCAATTCCTCCCCTCCTTTCAAATACCATCTACAGGTATGATCCTCAGATGTACATCTCCAGCTCGGCTCTATTTGGTTTCCTACTGAACATCTTGAACTTCAACTTTGTTCCAGATGTGCTCTTCCTTCGGTCTTCTCCACCTTCTTTCTTTCCATCAAATGCTACAGCCAATCTATCAGGAAATCCTTTTGGATATTCCAGCCAAATGCAATATCTCAAATCCAGTCCCTCAGCACTGCTGCTACCAGTCCGAGCCACCATAGCCTCCATGCAGGACTACTGCATTAACCTCTTTTCTTGCTTGCACTTCCAACCTCCTAAAGATAAGCTTTCACGTAGCAGTCAAAGCAATCCTTTTAGAATATAAGCCATATCATGTCACTCCCTTGCTCATAACCTTCCAGTAGCTCCCTTCCTATTACACTAAAATCCAAATTCTTTGTCATGGCCAATCAGACCCCCATGGTGTGGTTCCTAGCGGACTCTCTCGCTCTGTTGCTCTTGAGTACCCCACTGGCTGTCACACAGCTCCTCAAATCAGCCGAGTATACCCCTGCCTGCACATGCCGCTTGCTCTGCCTGGACTGTTCCTACAGCCTCTGGGAATTCACTCTCTCAGTTTGTCAAGGCATCTAGTCGAACAGTCGTCCCCTGGACATCCTATTGAAAATAGTGGCTCCCACCATTTTCTACATTTTTGTCCTGCTTTCTTCTTCTTCATAGTCCTTACGGCCACCAGACAGTGTTTTCCATTTTACTCTTGTCACTATTTCTCTCCTTCACTAAAATGTAAGCTCAATGGGGAGTCAGGTCTTTATCTTCCTTACTCGCTTGTATCATTTATCTCTATCATTGCTATCTAGAACAAGACCTGGTACATGGTAGAACCGCAAACGTTTGTTGAATAAGTACATTATTCTAAAATCCTTTTAAAAGATTGACAGCATCATATTTATAATTTGAAATAAAGTATAAAATAAAATAGTATAATCTGAAGTGAAATATTCTTTAGGCCACTCAGTCGTGTGTGTGGAATTTTGTCTCATAATTTGTATTTATGAATTACAGTTTTTAAATTTTTATTATTTAAAAGACTTCTAGAACTTATACTTTAAAAATTATTCTAATACATAAAACAATCATTTTTCCTTTTTTGTACTTTGTTTCTTCACTATTCCTAAAAAATACTGGACCAAAGACTTTTTTTCCTTCTTTTTTGATAAAAGTTTCAAATATATATAGTTTACATTTGCATAAATAGCATGAGTCAATGATAAATTTGTTTTTAAAATATTTCATTATAATAAATTTCTCTCTACATTATCAAAAAAAGCACTCAATCCATTAACAATGGAAAAAATAGCTGTAAATCTACATTTTAGATGGAAAGACTGTATTCAGTTAGCCTCCAGATCTGTGAATCCATCACAAAGCTAATTGTTTAATTCTTTTCATTCAAATTGTGCTGTGAATTCACGGCAGGTATACCAAATGACTAAAATGTGAATAGGCCAGTTGCATTTCTAAGAAACTCATCATAAAATGTGCTTGGTGCTCACTAATTATCAAGGCTTACACCTGATTTTGTTGGACTCGAACTACTAAAAGACAAAAACAAGTTTACAGCAAAAATATAATTGAAATGACTTGATGTCCAAACAGAATAACTCATTCTAACAGCCCAAACCACAAACTAATAAGTATAATTGTCCTTCTCTAAATAGCAGATGGGCAGAAGTGGCTTTGATTCAAATGATTAGAAAGGCAGAAACTTGAGGACTAATGGCTTTAACAGAAATCTCTCTCCAAGGGTTTGTCAACACATCCATCTTAACAGACACCATCCATTTTGTTGTCCAAGTAATTGGTAATGCATTACTTTGTGTTTTTGCACTCACAGTTATTACAGAAAAGTAACTGGTACACCTCCATGCCTTTCTTTTTCTCTTGTAAAGGGATACAGTAGATAGAAATTGAATGTAGACAGGAAAAAAAATAACAAAGTTTCAAAACAGTCAAGTTTGAAATTTGAATCATAAAAGCCCAACTTTTCTTCTCATTTTATATATAATACACAGTTACTTTTTTTAAGATTTTATTTATTTATTTGTTAGAAAGAGAGAGAAAAAGAGAGAGAGAGAAAGCACAAGCAGGGAGAGCGGCAGGCAGAGAGAGAAGCAGGCTCCCCGCCGAGCAAGGAGCCTGACGCGGGGCTCGATCCCAGGATGCTGGGATCATGAGCCAAAAGCAGATGCTTAACCTACTAAACCACCCAGGCATCCCTACAGAGTACACAGTTATTTTAAAACTACAAATACAAATTGTATCTTTTCTGAATTTAAAAGTTTCCTTTATTTTCCTCTTTCTTTTGAAAAATTACATCATTAACAGCTAATAAATGTAGATGGAACAACAGAATTAGAAATTCACCATCTTGGAAACCACTATGAAATATTTGATTCAGGTAAGATCATCATGGATCTTAAATCCCCAAAATATCACCCCACAGATTATCTCCTAATCACAAATGGGGTCTTTTCTTTATAAATAGAGATGTTTATCGTCATCACCTTAACCAAGTGCTTAAACTCAACAGCATTAATAGTGATAATATGTGTCTTCTGTTGGAATACAATTTAAGTCACAGGATCACCTATAAAGTACTCTTGCCATAAACATTTAACTTGAATCATGCTTCTAGACCAAAATTCAAGTTACAAGAATAAATTAAATGTTACCATAAAGAAACATCTAGGCAAATCCCTGGCCTGTTCTCTTCGGAGTGTCAATGTCATGAAAAACACAGGGGGACTATCTTCTAGGTCGAGGGAAACTAAAAGTTGTAACTACTAAATTCAGTTGGTGAACCTTGACTAGATCCTGGTTCAAAAAACTATAAAAAACATGGGAAATAATTAGAAAGATTTTAATATGCTGAAGTATTGATGGGTAAGTATAATGGGGTCTATGACTGACTTTCAAATGATTCAGCAAATTAAAAATAACAACATAAATATATATACACATATATATGTAAACACAAACATACATAGACATTCCCAGATACGCTAAAATGTTATCTGTTGATTCTAGGTGGTCAGTTCATGGGTACTCAATATCCTAGTCTTTCAACTTTTCTATATGCTTGAAAAAGCTCAAAATAAAAAGTAACAAACTTTTGCATTTAATGTTCAACATGTACAGTACCTGGTTCTTGAATGACATCCACCTTTCCCACACTGATCTGAAGTATTTCACCATTCTTTGCAAATGTCTCCCATTCTGAGTCAGTCTGCTGGCAGGATGGACACCAAGGAGCGTAACTGTAAAAGAAAAAGAGCTAGTCAATGTAAACATATGAAAAAAATGTATAAAACAAACTAGAAAAATAGAGCATTTAAATTTAAAAAATAAATTCTTAACTAAGGGGAAAAACAAAAGCAAGCTTTTCCAAAGTTGCTTGATATAGAAAAACAGAAGCAGATTCCCCCCCTCCTAGAATTTAATGTATGAATATCAATTCCCTGGGGAAAAAATAGCTAAAGTTTAAGAAGATTTTCACAAATTATTGTAACATGTAAAGTATCTTATTTCAGTGTTATTCTAACAATGGGCTCAAATTTTACTACTGTCCAGATAGCTTTTGATTTTTGAGGGTGGAAAGGCTTTGAGTGTCCCACGAAAGATGGATGATTTTTACAAGGGTGCCTTTAAACTAGTCAAACTAGTTTCAGATTCATCAAAGTGAGATCTGATGGGTAGAGACCAGAAGATGTATTGCTATTGGGTCCCCCAAAATGCAAGTCATTTCCAAAGATATGTGGCAGGTCTGACCCACCTGAAGAAAGTAGAAGCTATAGGCTAAGCCTGCTCCACAGACACTTAAATAGAAGAGGGGTTAGAAATAAATACTTGGGCCTTCAACCAGAACTCTGCTGTTTTAGATTGTTTTTTTCATTCAATAAACATGATCTAAGCACCATGCTAAAAACTGAGGCTACCCCTGTGAATAAGACAGACATGGTCTTGTTCTCCTGGTTGATTCTATCATCTACAGATGCAAAGAGGTAAGCCCGGGGGGGTAATGACAATCCATGTGGCAAATGCCATGACTGGGAATGTGGAACATATGCTATGGGACACTCAGAAGCTGGATGATCTCAGAAGGGCCCACAGAGAAAGGAGCGTCTGTGGTAAGATCTAAAGTAAGAGTAACAGCCAGAGAGGGGTCAAGGAATGTTCTAACCCAAGCAGAGAGAACAGGAAGTGTGAAGACAGAGTATTGACAGGACAGGATGAAACATCATTCACAGCCTTTAAAAATGTTGTATAAGGAGTTAGGACTTTATTCCAAGCTCCATGACTGATGCCTTAAAAAAAGTTAAGAATCATGATCAGATTTACATTTTTGGAAAAGTCATCTGGCAGCTCTGTGGATAATGGATCAGGGAAGGATAAGACGGAAGCAAACCGAAAGGCTGTACTGTCCTCCTGGCAGTACGCTAATGGCCTCACTTTGCCTCCCATGATGCTAGAAAACATCATAAATGGGCCATAAAGCTTTAATGTGCTCCAGGATTTCACATGCAGATGTTAAAACAGGAATCCAGAGAAAACTGCTGTTTAGAAAGTATAGTGGATTGAACAGCATCTCTCAAAGAGTCTTAACCCCTCATACCTGTGCATATGATCTTATTTGGAATAAGGGTCTTTACACATATAATTAAAATAAGGATCTTGATGTGAGATTATCCTGGATTTAGAGTAGGTTCTCATAAAAGAAAGAAGAGCAAAGTGTGACACAGAGACACAGGAGGAAGGCCATGTGAAGATGCAGTCAGAGATGGGTGGTCTGTAGCTACAGGCCAAGGAATGCCAAGAATTGCTGGAAAGGCACGGAACAGACATGCTCCTAGAGCCTCCAGAGAGAGCCAACCTTGCCAACATGGTAATTTTGGAACTTGGGTCTCCAGAATTGTAAGAGAATAAATTGCCACTGTTTTAAGCTACTAAGTTTGTGGTAATTTGCAGCAGTCCAAGGAAACGAAGGCAGAAAGGAAGATATCATTTGAAATTGGGAGAAACTGAGATCAAATATGCCTTATGGAGACTTAAATATGCCTTATGGAGAACTATGCTTAACATATAACAAATACTGTGAACAAACAATAATATACACTGGAAATCGATTTTAAAATACTAACAGAGGACACAATTAAAAGGAAAATTAACATTTACACAACGTCACAAAAATACATGAATACAAATGGAGAGACATTCTGTTTTGCTTAATAATACCCAGAAGAAAAAAAAGCAGTAAATAAAATTAATCAATGCTCACAAAATAGGATAGGATACTCCAGGAAAAAAACATCACCAGACACTTTGAATAATACTTCGGGATGCCATCAACTGGACATGATTATTTTAAAGATCTGCTTAAATCTGTTTAAATTATATTTTAACAAAACCCTCAACTCAAGTCAAAATGCTGAGGAAATAAATGTAATAGATACTTTTAAAAGACTTGATACCACTGAATGGTCTATGTACAACGGGTGAATTTCATAGTGTGAAAATTACGCCACCCACAGGTAGAGGGCAGGAGACATGGATGAACCACGATTGGCAATATGTTGATACAACTACTGAATCCGGACGATGGATGATGGGAGTTCATTATACTACCATTTTTGTTTATGTTTGAAATTTTCCGAATAGTTTTTTTTTTATTGAGGTATAACTGACATATAACATTACATAAGTTTTAGGTACAACATAATGATCAAATATGTTTTTCTTAAAGATTTGATTAAATGGAAAGACCCAACAAGTTCTGGATGGGCAGGCTCAGCACTGTGAAAATGTTGATTCCCCCCAATTTATTTTCCATTTTTTTTCCATTCCTGAATTATTTTTACAAAATGTGGCATCTATTATTTCTACATTAAGAGAAGAAAGGGGTGGGGAGAAAAAGAGGTAGGAAAGAATGTCTGCCAAAAGAGTAAAACAAACACACACAGGAAAAAATGTCTTAGGAAAGGAAATAAAGGGGAAAAATGTTAAATGATTGAATTCTATAAAAAGATTTATAGAAAATAGAAAAAGCTCAAAGGTGCTGTCAGGTCGTCACTTACGAACCCTTTTATCTTGACCTGAGCAGAAGCATGTGTATAAGCGCCATGCAACACTCAAGGCAATGATGCATACAAACCAACTTTCCTGAAAGCCAACAATAACAAACATTTCTGAAATAGGGCAATATTTTGATCTTTCACATTATGAAAGGGTATGGGGGGGTTAGAAAGTCAACATGATGGGGAGGTTGCATGTACTTCGAGACAAATATTGAGATTGGGCACAGCCGAGGAGAGAAAGGACTACCCAAAGCAAGGCATGCATTTCTCTCTCCAGCCAGGCCCCAGTAGCAGCCAGACTTAAGCACATTTGTTCATCCTAATGATTGTTCATCCATCTCTAAAAGGGTCTGGTATAGCCAATTCCAAGATAATTCTAAAAAAAGTCATTAATCTTTTCATTACAGCTCACTATCTAATCCCTGAGACACCAGAGATATGGACCAGGAACAATCTGCTGACATCTTTGACCATGGCTGATTTAAACATCTGTATCTCTACATTTCCAAGGCAAAGTATATACCTGGTACAGTAAGTGCTCAATAAATATGTGCTGAATAAGTAAATGAACAAACTTTAAAGAAAATTATAGTCTTTGAGAAAAGTCATTTTTTATATATTTTACAAATATCCGTATGGCAGATGATACTGGGACAAGCTGTTGGTAAACTTTAGGGAAAAAGAGAACATTTTATTATTTAGTACTTCAATGGGCATTTCAGTGTATTAGATAAGAATTCTGCCAAAGAACTCAACCAGACCAACCACAAATTAACCATGTGACTTTGGGCAGGTTAGTAATCGCTCCATGCCTCAGCTTCCTCAACTGCAAAATGGGACAGTAACAGCAGCTACCTTAGAAGGTTATTGGGAGATTAGATGACTTATATAAAGCAGGCACAAATTAAGAACAATACCAATTACATTTGTAATATACTGCTTGGTTTCCAAGACACTTTTATGATGCATTAGAGCTCATGTGAACCTTACAACCTCACTGTCAAACAGACAAGGCAGGTTTAAAGGACCTTGCTTAAGGTCACCTAAGACCACACAGCACAAGAACCCAGATGGAGGTATTCATGTGATAAAACCTCCAAGGAAAGTAAGACCCAACACTGAAAGAGAGAACCACAGAAGGCAGAAATTACCAAAAATAAGGATGAAAACTTGCAGTACAATTAAACAAATTCTAGATCCTTTTTGCTTTGTTTCCCTAGGCCAGGGCCTTTGCATTTAACTCAGGGACATATTTACTACATCAGTAATTATTAAATCATGCACATTTCATCTTTTATTTTTTTAAATCCCAGTCCCTAATCTCTAGACAGGCTATTATATAAATTGGGATTTTGGTGACATTGATCTCAAGATATAAAAATGCCACTGAGGTCACTTTAGATATTCCATTTTTTTTATGTAGCTGCCACCCAGTGGAGACTATGAATGCTATCATTTCTGAGATTTATTCAGAGCTATTTGTGTTGGAGTGAAACATCATTCACTAACTTAGGGTGTTCTTTTGGTGGTAGAAAGAAGTCAGCTCTGAGTCTCTGGTGTGGGAAATGGTCCACTGTTGTTTCAGTTTTTTAAATTATTAGTATTCTTTTAGACCCAAATGACTGTGATTTAGACAGTAATTTAGAACCTACTAAAGGAAAATACCTTCAGGGGCTAAAGGAATACAAACAAGAAAACCCATAACTTTCATGTACTCATACACACTCTGTCTCTCTCTCTCTGTGTATGTATGTAGATATAATTTTTATGCACGCATGCATGACAAAAATCAGCGGGAAGGACTGAATATGATCTTCATTTATATTATTTAAGACTAGTTCATAATGTCAGTCTTCTAAGAACTCTAAAAGAGTTGATCTGCCATAACTTTGTCTTTTACATTCAAATTAATCCTTCTTTCATTTAAGAGCCTCCAAGAGGAATTAGAACCTTTATAGTCATGGAAACTATACAATAGTATCTTTTCTATTTAAGTTTTTCCCAGGCAGCAGTGGTATATAAAGTTAGTAAGCTTCATAAAGACATTTGAAATACATTCCAGGTAGCTAAAACACTGTTAAATTACATCAACTTGGTATCAGTCCAATGTTTTAACCACTTCTGGGAAACAAAATTCAAAAGCATTTTTTTGTCATCCATGTCCATATTTATGCATATTTTGTACT